GATGGCCACACCGCAATCCCTTCTCCTCCATTCTCCTCTCGGGATCTTGGGCACGCACGCACACGCGCCCAGTGTGAGTTTTAAGCCACCGGGTCTGGGACCCGAACTGCGGTCGACTACATGAGAGTCTAGCGACATAGCCATTACACTAACTGCTGGTCCCATACAATATGGTTTTTTCAAGGCATACTTGCACTGCATATCGATCAAGTCAAAGGTACTACCATACACACGATCCTCAACAGATAAATTTCCATTATGTCTGTCAAGTGCTTTTTCCTGAGTCTCCCCCCCCCATTTTTCATTACTTTTATTTTCAATTGACAAGGTATAAATGTATACAACTGTGAGGTACAACATGATGTTCTCCCATGCTAAGAAGAGAAAATAAAGACTGACCAGGACCTTTTGACTTGGGTGTGGTATGGTGCATATGTTGAGGGTTAATAGAAGCACTGAAGCTCTTTCACAATTGCTTTGCATGCTATCTTTTCTTAGGTGTTTGAATATGGGAATTTAGAAAATTCATGAACGTGTTATCCTTTTTTAAAGAATTGTTTAATTTTATTTATTATTATTATTTTTAAAATTTGCTATAGTGCACAAGTGATGATGAGAGAGAGAGAGAGCAAGAGAGGGAGAGTTAGAAAGCAAGCCATCAAGTCCAGGACTTGAACCGCGGTTGGCCATGTAGAAGTCCAGCACCTTAACCACCTCACAACCTGCTGGCCGAAAAGTATCCTTTAAGCTCTGTGATTTCCTAGTCATCTCTGCGAAGACTTCCAACCAACAGTCAGGCTCTTTGCCAACGAATTCAGAGACTGCATGCACACACACACATACACACACACACACACAGAAACACAGCCCCAGGGTACTTCACACTCACCAGTTATCCAAACATCTCCCAGACATTCTGATTTATATGGATCTTCTCCTTTATTTACACATATTCCACAATGTTTGTGGGTTTTCTCCATGTACACCCCCATCCCATGAAACCTCTATAGCAACAGGCTTCTATTTGCATAAGGTTTAGCAGTAATTTTTGTGGAATTGAGAGCTCTTACAATGTAATTCAGTTGGCATTTTTAAAAGCCCTTTTATTATTTCCCCTTAAAAAACAAAAAGGTGCAAAACAACCAAAGTTATTTATAAGCAATAAATCTCAACTAGCCAGTGCTGCATTTAGTCAGTGTGGCATCTTTCCACACTTCATGATTCAGAAACATATTCCCAAGATCAACACTTATCCCCACTATCAGCACTAACGGGGCTCACATCAGCCTTGATTTTAAAATGGCCCCAGAGCACTCAGTACCTAGTAACCACGCATAGAGTCTTCTGTTCAGAGACATGTCCCTTCTCAGCAGGGTCTGGGTGGCGGCTGAGAGAATGTGCACGATGTCAGATCTGAGCAAGGGGATGGTTCTCTCGTTGGAGTCCTACGAAGAGGACAGAAGGAACTTTACTGTAAGGGACTGGTAACACACAGTGCTGACTTTCTGACATGCAGCCTTTCCCTTCCCGTCTACAGAGCTTTATTTAAGAAGGGGTTGGCTCTTTATACATTGTCCAAGCTCTTTAGTATTTGCTACTGAAACATCACCCTCACAAAAATGAACCAGCATCTTATTTATTTATTTTAATTACTAGAGGCACGTGTGCTTGCCAGAAAAGGGGAGAAATTACCCTTCCATGGGTTGTAGTCACACTGCAACACCTTCTCCATTTTTCCACCCTCTTGAGATTGTGTGTGTGTGTGTGTGTGTGTGTGTGTGTGTGTGTGTGCGTGCGTGTGCATGTTTTAAGCTGCTGGGGCTGGGATTTGAACCACGGTTCACCAGTGGGATCTGGTTTCTCCTAACCACCAGGCTATAGGGCCAGCTAGAACCAGCACTTTCAATTGGCTGAGAACAAATGATAACCACCGAGTGGCTGTGCTCCCTTCTCAAGACAGAACGGCTTGAGATGTACGCTTCCTCCACACGAAACAGTGATGGCTTATCCAAACAAATGCAGATGGCTTACCAGACAGGTATAAAATGGGAAGAAAAACAGAACAATTTCCAGATTGTTTCTTTGCACAAGAACATTTGAATCCAACAGTGATGCACATAATGATTTTACCTGTAAAGGATAAAATGGCATTAGATTTCATTTCAGATATAGCTGACAACATTTTCAGGCCTCTGTTTATAATCATAAAAATGAAAGTAACCTTTTTGGGGAATCTTTTATTTATTTTTTCAAAGGTTTCTGCCACAAAGTGTGTGCACGCACTGCAGAGAGACAGAGAGATACAGTAAGAAGGAAAGTGCGACATTTGTGGGCAGATAGCCATGCTGCAATCCCTTCTCCATTCTCCTCCTGGGATTGTGGGCACACACAGCTGTTATTATTTTCAAGCTGCCAGGTCCAGGATCAGACTGCAGTCAGCCATGTGGGAGTCCAGCACCTTAACCACCACACCACCTGCTGGGCCCTTTCCTGGGAATCTTGACACTACCGTGTTAAATCTCATGAAGAGAACACGAGGCTGCAGGTCAGGAAGGTGCGGTCGGGCAGCTATGTGACAGGGGAGCTCATGGGGCTACAGATCTTACCTGTTCTCCCTGAGATCTCAATCCTATGATCTCCCCAAAGGGATTCTAAAGCTCTCAAATCCATGGTCAAATGGATTCCAAATCAATTTAATGCCTATTCCGATTGTCATTTCCATACACCGACAAGTACAATATAGATGGTAATAGATAGGAGCCATAGACAAATGCTCACAGAAGCTGCAAGGATTCAGAAAAGGAGAGGAAGAGCTCTTTCAAGGGTGAGAACAATGAAGCTGGTGCAAAAGCCGGGCTTAAAGGACAGGACCAGGCCTGAGATTCAAGGAGAAGAAGAGAGGCAGCGAGTGCAAGAGGTGAGAACAGCCCGTGGAACAAAGACACAGGCCTAAGAGGCCAGGCTCCCAGCTTGGCAGGGATGCAGAGGGTTGGAGGAGAGCGTGAGGTGTTTGGTAGTCTGGGGCAGACTAAGAATATTCTTGAGTTTGGACTTTATCTGCAGGCAAAAGCAAGCCAGATAGCCATTCTTTCTTTTTTTTTTTTTTCTTTCTTTCCTTCCTTCCTTCTTTATCTATCTTTTAAGAGAGATTTTTGTTATAGGGTGTGTGTGGTTGCCAGAGAGAGAGAAAACGAGAAATCTCCTCCCAGGAGGATGGCCACACCGCAATCCCTTCTCCTCCATTCCCCTCTCGGGATTTTGGGCACACATATGCACGTGTCTGGGACTAGAACCACAGTGATTACATGAGAGTCCAACAGCATAACCATTATGCCACCTGCTGGTCCTGGAAGCCAGATATTCTAAAAGCACGGGACAGCGATGAGGAAAGCAGTGTTTTCTCTTAACAATTGATAAGGCTGAGGTAAACAGTAAGACAGTGGGATGAGAGAACACAATAATTCTGTTTCTGTCCAAGAGCAAAACATGAGAAGCCAAATAGGACCACTTATGTAGAGACAAAGGTGACGCTGACAGGGCAGGAAAAAAGGAAACATATTCGTGGGGGTCTCCTACATTCCAGTCACTGTGGGAAGTGCTTTTCATCAACGGTTCGACTTAATCCTCAGGCGAAATCCCCACTTTGTAAAGGGGGTGGGCTCAGAGGCAAGTCATCAGGCTGCAGACCTCACTTGTAATTCCACAGGAACATGTCAAGGCCAAATGTGAGCCCACCACCAGGGGGCGACAGATAGCAAGCCATTAGAAACCGGAGAGGTAGGTTGGGGGAAGAGACAAACATCTGGGAAGTTCCTGGTTTTTAAAGTCCTGAGAAGGGACGGCATTGCCAGGGAAGTTTCCCCGAAGGCCTAGGGATAGACGCCCAGGGTGTCCCAGCAATTCGGGTTTGGGAGCAGCCACAGGAGGCAAGGACAGCAGGCACAGCACCGAGGGCATGGTGCTGAGGCCGGGAGCGTGAAGATTCCTGTGACGACGGCAGGAAGGACACAACGCTCTAGCCAGGGCAGAGCTGGGCAGAGGCTATGTGTATGGCGTATGGCGGGAGCAGAGTGGTGGAGCCTCCAGACGGGGCCTAGCAGGTGTGAACGATGCTCATTTGAATATATAAATCTGAATGTTCGTCTTTCAGAAACAACACCCTGACCTGGACAGGTGCCTCCTGCTGCCTCGCAGCTTATCCTCACAGCTTACCTCAGTCTTGGAAGGCGGCCCTTTGCCATTGCTCCCTGATGTCCCTTTGCAGCCCCAGTGACAGTCTGCCTGTGCGCGTGCACGTGTATGTATGTGTAGGCTGTGCTTGTGCCCCTCCCTCAACACCCATGGGGTGCAGGCACCCACCGTCAGCTGGTGATCCGTCCCCAGCACGTACGCCTGCTCCTTGCCAGGCAGGTCCCTGCTGATGTGGCCCACCACGAACAGCGAGGCAGGAAGGCGGATGGACGGGCTGGCCAGGACGCTCCCCCAGAGTGCAGTGTAAAACACCTCCTTGCCGACCACCAAGGACAGTCTCAGGAGCAGGGCGTCGGTTCTGTCAATGATAAGAGACGAAAGAACTATCGAAGAATGGAAGGGCCCCTCCCTGTCACCCCACATCTGGTGTGGGAACAGTCACCGTGGTTGAGACTCTGACTAGGGCAGTACTGTCCCTTGTGAGCTGCCACCAACCCTGCCCTTCCTTTTGTGTTTGTCCACTTGCCAGCTGTCACACTGAACATGAATTTGCTACATGTCACCAAGAGGTACAGCTTCTTGGCCAACAGGAAGCATCTGAAGGGTTGTGTGACGGTGGTTCAAAGACCCATCTCTGCCCCTGGCCTTGCCACAGATACATGGTGCTCACAGAAGGGCCATTCCGCTGTGACAAGGGGCTGAGCAGAGCAACCTCAAGGGCAAAAGGAGTTGTTTATGTGTCCAAAATCAAAATGAAAAAAAAGCTGACGTGACCAGCTGAAGACTTACATGACTGTAAGAATGCTCCCAACTTGAGCATGGCCAAATCGTGCCAAGCGACTCTGAGATACGGGGGACAAAATTCACCTGGGAAGCCCAGTACCTCCTGCAAGTTCCATAAAGCCTGGGATGCTGCTTCCTTTCCATCTGCCCACAGCACCACCATCTGCTGACACCCACTCCGAGACGCTCGTGCGCTGAGCCCAAGGTTTCTGCAGCTCTTATCTGCATCTGGGTCTCCTGTGAAGCAGTCAGCACCTTCACACGCAGCCTCGGGGGAAGCTGCGTCATCAGTGGACCCAGGCCAGCTTTTCCACTGACATCAGCCAAGGCTGGCGTCTCTCTGCATGGTGATGCACCTGCAGACTGTGGAGCCACCCTCCCTGCCAACACAGAACCACCTGCTGGCTGGGCAGTAGCATCTGCTAAGAAAACAGCAGAGGCAAATGCCCACGAGGAATTCTCCTAACAAGTGAGTTGATTCATCACCTGAAAGGATCCCATTTCTCACATGCTCTTATTTGCAAAGAAAACACACTCACACAAAAACTAACACAAGGAGTAGCCTCGTCAGTATGGTGGCTCACTCGGGGTTCTGGAGTCAGCCTTCCTGTGCCCAAACCTTGGGCCCGATGCTGGCTGTGGCACGTTGGACAACCTTAACTTCAGCACATCCATGCTCAGATATATGACAAGGAAAGGGCCTCTACAGCATGGAGATGCAGTGACAAAAGGGAATGTCTGCATGGAAACGCTACAGGAGATAGAGCCAGGGCTGGAGCCACATTGCCCACCGTCACCTGAGGCCTGCTGTGTTTGCTGAGCGTCATCACAGTGCCAGAGTATGTGTGCTGGACACCGCTGGCATCTGAGAAAGCTGAAGGGAATGCCACTTTCTCACTTTTACTAGTATTAGGACCCAAATTGACTTCAGCTTGCTTTTCATTATTGCATCAATAATCAGTTAGGTATATAAAAAATTTCATGCAAAAATATACTTACTACCCACTTATATTAGGAATGAATGTCTGGGCCGGCAGGTGACATGGAGGTTGAGGTGCTGGACTCCCACATGGTCGACCACAGTATGAGTCCCAGACCTGGCAGCTTGCTTTCTCACTGTCCTCCTCTCTCTCCCTCCCTCTCTAGTGACCACATAAGCCCTATAGCATATTTAGAAATAATAATGAATGAAATGAAATAAATAATTCTTTAAAAAAATAAATAAATATTGTTCTCCTTAAAAAGTCTGAGCCTTTTTGTCTCACTAAATATTTGTGGCAAATATTAAATATTAAATATATCAAAGCATAATAAATTCTTAGATAAAGCAAAAATAGTAAGTAACAGCCAAACATAAAGGAAAAGCACACAGAAAGGCTTTGTGGTTGAAGTTGCTGATGAGCCGCCTATTAAAAGCTGAGCGAACTAATAGTGTTTATCTTTGCCTAGCTCTGAAAACAACACTGTAACAAAGCCCTGAGTTGGGCAAAAGCACCACTCAGCAGCTGCAGTCATGGTAAGTCAGGCCAGATGGGTCACTGTGTCCCCTGGGCACAAGCCTGCCAGGAAGGTTCTGCATCGGGCAACAGGATGCTCCTGAGCTGGGAGACTCCTACAGCAACAGATGAAAGCAGGAAACACAGGGCACTCCTCACTCTCCAGGATCCCTTGCACAGGAAGACCAACACTCAGATAAAACCCATCACAACCACGATAATGCATGCATACTGACAGCACAGTCCCCTTGCTTAGAACACGATTATTTCCAAAGCATATTCCACAGAACACCAATCACTCTTATAGGAGTTCCACTGTCAGAAAGCCCAGGAAGGGGACTAGCAGTTAGCGTAATGGCTATGTTGCTGGACTCCCATGTAGATGACAGTGGTTCAAGTCCTGGACCTGGTGGCTTAAAACTCATGCCAGGCACGTGTGAGTGTGTGCCCAAGATCCTGAGAGGAGAGTGGAGAAGGGACTGTGGTGTGGCTATCTCCCCTGGGGGGGGGGTCATTTCTCACTTTCTGTCTCTCTTTCTGGCGAACACACGTGCCCTATCACAAAAACCTCTCAGAAAAAAAAAAAAAAAAAAAAAGCACAGGGGGGCACACAGGCGGCA